TCGATTGAGTGCTTCATTGAGAAATCGTCGTAAAACCGAAATAGACTGCATTTTTTGTGAAAAACCTTATTTTCAATGTTTCTTCGATATCTTTCTTATTTCTCAACTAATCGTTGAAAACACAAAACAAAAAATGATCAGCGCAAAAATCTCTACAAAATGAAAGTACTTCAAGGAAGATTCAATGATCTTCATGTAATGATTGGAGGAAGCTGGTGGAAACACCCCTATATACTTCTATTTTAGAGTGGGCTACGTGGTTTTTATTTTGCTTCATTGCTAAACACCAATTAAAGTGAAGGCATGGCATATCATGAAGTAGAGCAGTATGCATGAGCACATAGAAATTGACACAGATGTGTAGATGAATGTTCACTCTGAAGTAAAGTCATGCAGTAGTGTTGGTTGCTAGCTTTTGATAGGCATTCTTAGTGATAAAAACTCGTAAATAGGTGAATTTTTCAGGCGGGTTTCAGTGATTTACACAGACGAGCGTTACTTGTGTTAAAATTCTGTGAGAGTATTCTATTGTTTGGTTGTTAGTACTATTTTCCGTATGAACTGTCTTGCCTCCTTTCTGTCTTTAAAATTGTAGATAGTCTCTTCTATCGTAATACAAGAACACCTGCCAATCAGAATAATTAGCAGCCAGTGATGAACATTTGTGTACGAGACCGATATAGATTTAACATGGTTTCTACGAAAATATCAAAGTCTTCGTTATTCACTCGATGACTAAGAATAGCCACACGAATATAAAATCGATTATAGATATAGGTTGAGGATAAAAGAGCAATTCCGGATCTTTTTATATCCTCAAGAAGTTCACTGTTGAAACAATCTAACAGTTCAGTGTCTGATTTGTTTAGTTCGTCAGGTTCAAAGCGGAAGTTGACAATATTCAATGAGATAGGACGCACAATGTGAATGATGTCTCCGTATTTTTCAAGTAATGAAACCAAATATTGAGCCTGCTTACAATTATCAGCCATCTTTCTACCCAGCTTTATAGCTCCATGTTCTTTAAATGTAAACCAAACTTTTAGTGCCCGAAATGAACGCGAGAGCTCAGGACCAAAATCCCAAAAGACATCACCCATTGTGCTTTTTTGCTGTGCTGTGGGTAAATAGGACTGACGCATAGAGAAGGTCGATTGAAGTAAAGCTTTGTCACGGATAAGTACACAACCAACATCCGTTGGGCAATGCAACCATTTATGACAATCAAAGGCAAGCGAATCAGCTCCTTGAATGCCATTAACAAGATGACGACGTTCAGAGTCCAGGATAATTAAGCTACCGAAAGCGCCATCAACATGAAACCAGACATTTTCCGCATGAGCGATCAATGAGAGTTCAGCAAGATTGTCGAAAGCCCCTGTGTTCACAGTACCTTTGAAATGAATATACAGGAACTGTTATTATAGTTTAAAAAATTAATTGAAACGTTTGTTTAAGAAAAACAGCGAAACCCTCCACTTACATTGATGCGGTTAAACTTCGAAAAGGTATGAATGCTTCGTGATGATTCTTTTATAGTTAAAATTAAACCTACTTCCAGGATATCACAATTGATAAAATCAACATTCTACCATCGTATTACAATAAAAAAGCTGTCGCTCTATAGTCTCGTACGGGAAAAACGCTGTATTTGTAAATGTTGTTGGATTGTGCTTCAACAAACATCATACTATTTGATTATTGATGCAACTTAGTTCGGTCAATATGGTCCAGTCGTACTCCTTAGGGATCCACTAGTTATATTTTGATTCATTTTGTGAAACAGCAGAAATTACCAATCATCAGTAGTATATTAATTGTTGTTTAAACACCCTTATAAATAAAGTCAGCAAACAGGTTTTTATGTAGTCTTCAAGATTATTTAAACTCACATAATAACACGCGAGCGTATACTCATCAATGCGTCAGATTATCTCAAATTGAAGATAGAACGATAATGCGGCAGGCACATAATCGTTCAGATTTAGTAACATGCAAGTTTCGGTTCTTCGACTTAATCAAACAATATCTGAACGATCAAGAGTGTTAACGATCGCTGTATCGTAATTTAGCGAAGCTCGCAAATTGTCCTTATAGATAAGATTATTGAAAAGAATTCTATATTTGGGCTAACTGGAATGTACTGTGTTTAGATAGCAATGGCAGATTAATTTGCAGATTTGATGACATAGCAACTTGAAGAAAAGCGAATAGGAAGATGATTCATATGAAATGATAAAACATAATGGCATACCAGCAGCACAAATTATTTTAGTTCTAGGATGTCTCAATAGCTTAGAATTAAGATTGCTTTATAGCAGACTGTATGGTAAGAAAGTTTCTTTAAGCTTATTCTAGGGCATTAAAGTGTGATCCACTGTTTACAGTCGTTAATCGATTCTCAGTATATATATAAAAATGCACTACAATGTATCTGTAGTCTGTACAGTGAAGTACCTCTAAGGCAATTTTAGTACTACACCCTACAAAAAATATTGTTAAAAATTTTTCACTTTGAATTTTGTATATAAATTTCATACCTAAAGTTTTTCTTTAGTTAGGTATTTATGCTAGCTGATATCTCCTTGCTAACTTCAATTGACCATAATCTTAAAAATCACGCAATTCCTCTTAACGGTGACGCACAGGTTTTGTTTAAAGTATAATAATACTTTATTGTTCCGCTCATGCACTTAAAAATTATGCACAGAAAGCCTCACAAATAAATATTTCCTGAAAACCTTACTTCAGCGATGAAGCTGCAAGTACAATGCAACTTGTGTCGCCTTTTCAGAAACCTAGGTGTTACCTTCTCTGAAACTTTTCCTATATATCACATATTAAAAATATTCTCAAAGTTTCATAATTGTGACTCAACGTTTTAAAATAAAATTGTTAATATTTCAGAATTGCTAAAACTGATATTTTAGATGAAAAATCTGTTATTGAAGTTTTTATCTGATTACAAGAAGCTTACCGGTACGAGTAGCTAGTGGTGATAGCAATACCCATGATACATTAATTAGCTGAGTTTTTACATTCAAAGAAATAGAGAGAAGTAGTCATTTTACCTGCTTTAATTCTCATAATTTTGTGGCGCGGAGTGTGTGGGTGTGGCTGATAGCCGAAAACACTCGGACTCACACCCACAACCTGATCTAAATCCACACACAAACTCACACCCACACCCACACCCCACATCCACAGCCACAAGATTGATAAGCATAGATCGTAGGTATGGTTATCAATGCCCTTCAGAATAACAACAGTATAAGTAGCTCTTTGATCTCAAACTGCTGATTAATTAGTTAATTAATACTAACTTAAGCGTTCAGCGTGTGCAGAATTATAAGTTACATAGGGCACGTTTGGTCAGTTTCCTCAGAAAGCGCGTGAAAATTGCAGGAAATTTTAAAAAAAATTTTCATCTTAGTCAAAATCATGTTTTTCCAACATCCATCCTAGCTATTTTCCCTTCAACTATGTTTTGTTCGAATTTTTTTTTCATTCGATAGAACATGCAAAGACGCAGGGCATGGCGTTCTTTGATTTTTGAAAACATTTTTTTATACCCAAAAAAAGGTCTCCTACAAAATTTGCAAGCAATTTTTTGGCCTTTTTTCAAGGATTTTTACTTCTGAAAGCATTTTCGGCCTACAGAATGAACTTTTCAAAAATCGAAGAACGTCTCGCCCTGCATCTTTGCCTGCTCTATCGAATGAAAAAAAAAATTGGTCGATTAAACGTACTTAAGAACAAAATAACTAGGATGTCAGATGGCCCCTTTTTAGCCAGTGTTCACTCCATAATTTCATTAAACTTGGATATTTCGGACTGAAATTTTTATCGTAGACTATCCGCTCCAGGTCTAACATATCTTGACAATTTCAGCCGATTCGAGAATTCTTTAGCGAAAATCGACCTTCAAGGGGGGTGGGGCCTTAATTGCTATAACATTTTTAGATGAAACCATTTTTTAGTAGAAGTAGAAATTCATGCATATTTTCAAATGATTATTGATGTAGAATCATTGTCATAAAATTGCTATAATACTAGTCTACTAACTCCTACTGGGAAAATATCTCTCTGTTCACTCAGATATCAAAGAATGCAATCAGGTGCAATAAGTTCCAATCTTCGTTTGTTTAGAACTACGATCTTTTCATGCGATTTATTTTAATTCTTTTTGTTACCTCTCATTAAAAAATATCAAACAATTCCATTATGTCTATCAGAGCTGTTTACTTAAGAGCTAGTCCACTTAAGCCACTACCGATTTAAGTATAAAGTGCTCCGTCGATGATCACAAATTGGTCCGTTTTCATATCATTTTAAGGGAGACCATTGTTTCATTGATTTCAAC